ATGGCATACAAGGAAAAAATGTTTGACTACTTTATTCATTGCAACCTATACAAAAAGCAACTTCATTGCCTGTTCAAGAAATAAGGATATGTAACCTTAGTGCGATATTTTAAATGACGGTTTACAATAGATAGAAATAGATAAAAACAGAATCCTTAAAGAAAGCCCATAACGGCAAAATTGTAAAATGTGGCGAGTCGTTGAGGCAGAGTTTTTTATCATAAGAGTTTGAGAATTTAAAGCAGCTCAAACCGGTTCTAGGGGCTTGATGGATTTTGCATTTTTTTATTATCTCTCATGTAATATTTAACGCTTCCGAGGGATCTTTTAATATATACTCAATTGAAATATTACCCATACTTTAAAAAATCGCAACAATTAGGCATTTTGTAGCAGGTAAAACTTAATGGATGTACATTTGATCCTGTTATTTTACACATCATTTGAAAGTTAAATCCTTTATCAATATGGAAGAAATTTTATTTATGGTTTAAAGTATACTATGTAATAGATGCTGACATTGTCCCTCCCGAGATTGAAAGGGTAATTCATGCACGAACTATTTTTAATAGTATTAATTTGATTGTAGAATATTTAAAAATGTAACTGACTTGTAAATTAAATATTTGATCAATGGTTACCATGAATAATGAAAGAAAAGAAATGCTTGCAGTCACGACATATTGCTATGTAATTAGTAATTTTCCTATGCATACATGTAATTGTATATATTATGTGTGCTTGTACATGACTCTTAAAAATTTAAGAGTTAATTTGCAAAATACAGATTTTTCTTCTTCTTCAAGCGCTGCATGTTAAAACATTTGTAACTTTTAAAGCAGCACGCTTCCGGATTTATGTTAATTTTCATGAAAATTTTGAAAATGTATTTGAATGTGTAATATTGTGAAGTAACCAAAAGGAAGCAATTTACACATTTTCAATGGCATTTACCTTCATACTTTTTCTTAAAATTGAAGTTGATTATGAAAACTACTCAAGATTTCAAATTAATGCGATGCCTGTATGATAAATAATACTTAAATAAATAAGAAATTAGGATGAAAGTTGAGTAGAATTGGTAATTACTGAACATCAAAGAAAACTGCCTTTAAAAATTTCTTAATATTTTTAAAAATCTGTTAATTGTCCATTTTTCAATCTGGAAAAAAAATGTTCATAACTGCTGGCAATATTTCAAATTATTCTTATGATGAATATTGCAGGTTCAGTCAAAGTAGCATGGATGAAGAAAAACAGTCCCCGTCATTCGGCAAAAGATTTTTTGTTAATATTTGCAGCGTTTCGTAGATGTCAAATTTGTAAAGAAAATAATTAAAATCTTGCAAAAACTATGATTATGTGCCATGCTCTTAAACAAATATTTTCTTCAATATTTTACAAAAAATTCAATGATCCATCCTCATAATCCTTAAAAAAGTGATTTTGTAGTGAAATATAAAAGAACAAACTAAAATTTATATAATGCAATTTGATGAAAATGGAACGACAAGACTACTTTTGATAATTTTTATTGACATGAGATACATGCATTTAAGAAAATATATGGAACAGATAAATACAGAATCCCTAAAGAAAGCCCAACACGGCAAAATTGAAAATGTTGCAGGCTCGGTTTGATTGAGCCTGTTCATGGACGGTACTGGAAAGTGCAAGTTACCGTCCACGCCCCCTAGCACCGGCTTAAGCAGAATTCAACATTTAAACATGAAATAGTAAAATTTTGAATTGAGAATCATCCGCAGATGTGTTCATAGGGCGGTTATCATGGAACCTTCAATGTGACACTTCCGTGCCATTCCATGAAAAGCGGCGTATGGTCCCCAAGATATAGAAAGATTGTGCCCTAAACGAGAAAACAATAGGCGGAACTAAATAAAATGGAATTTTGATAGGGGATCAGAGGTTATGAAGCCTGCGTTTCACAGATAAGACCAATAATAAATCTTTTTAAACCTGCAGGTGAGAAAAAAAATTGAAGAAAATTAATATTGCGAAAAATGTAATTCAGGAAATTATGGACATACAAAATAAGTTCTTTTCATTTTCAGACCTATTTTTGTAACTTTAGTAGATTTTGAATGCCGTTTGCAATGTGTATTCTACTTTCTTTGTTTGCTTGACATTATTTAAAAAAAAAAAATTTTGAAAATCTGTAGAATAAACATGAATCTTCAGACATCATGCTGCTTTTACTTGCTGCCTCAGGATAATAGAATTATTACAGTAAATCAACAAGAAAATCATGTGTAAAGAAAACAAGAAACTCTTGGCCATAATATAATGAAAACAATCAAACTGCTGCCGTTTTTGCTTCCAATCTTTAGTAGTCTAGAAACTTAAGAAGTCTCGAATGATTGACCTAATGATAATTGTTTCAAGCTGGTCAATTAAGAAAGTATTTTGGTTCAGAGCTGCCTCTTAAACCTACCCATGTACAATGCTTATCATGTTTGATGCCACATGAGATAATAGTAAACCAAAAGGTGGCAAAAAAATCAGAGCAAGCTTAATATTGTAGTTCCATATTATTTTTATCAAATCTCTATGCACATGTTAAAATGTAAATAGATATATATATATATACAGTTTTTTAGTGGAACTGTATAATTACTGATGGTATATCGCTCAAATACGATAATGTTTGACTTGAAAAGTAACTTACATAAATGCTGTCAAAAGTGATCTTTTTTTCCTAAAATATATGTTGTTGTTTTTTATTAACTTACTTTGGTCCATGGTTCTGTTTACTTACTACCTTTTGAGTTCTTAGAGGGGGAAACTGGAATTTATTACATATTTATTTTTTATGAAGTATAACGTTTGGCAAATAGATGAACATGTCTGGCTGTGATGATAATGTGTGTGTATAGGTGATAATTTCTCTGGTGTAGGTGTGGGTGATATCTGTGGCGTTTGCTCAGGTCGAGAGGTTAGAGTCGATGACTTCTTATCCAGTTACCTCTCTGGCGTTGGTTCGATTCCCGGCAGATGCCTTGGTAGTTAAGCACAGAGGATGGTAGTCTAGTACTGGTGTAACTCTTCAGGAACGATGGTGTCTATTTGACTGAAATACTGTTTGGAAGAGGCGTAAAATGAAACAAACAAACAATAGCATATGTGAAAAATATACTTAACTTTAAAAAACACATACATGATGTAAAGACGTTTGTTAAAAATCTGGAAACAAAGTGATCCCTTGGAAGCATTAACCACAACAAAATTACAAGAGAATTGCAGACTCGGTACACTTCACTTCAAAGTTTCATTTCAATAACTTGAAAATAGTACATGTTTCACTTATTCTTTTGACAGAGTTTGAATCTTAGTATCTAAACTTACAGTTGTTGCTCTCTTCAGTTTTAATCATAGAAATTCGTTTTCTTCATCAGATTCAGTTATTTTCACATTTTATATGTATTATATATATCATATATTATGTTGACTTTTAAATTGAAATTGCTATTTGAAATGCAAAAAGGCTAGTAATGTGAAATGGCCACAAAAGTCGCTGATTACTGTATTATAGATTTAACCGGAAAATACGGTCACGAGTGATAAGACAATTACTGTTCTTTGATATATCAACAGTGAATGGTTTGAGGGAAGACAATATATTTAGATAAACTTAATGACCTTATTTTTATTCAGTATGTTACGTTCGTTGCATGTTTATATTAAGATTTTATTTAGCTACCGATCATACAGTTTACAGTGTTTTCTTTTACCATCGTTCTTATTTAGTTTAAAGTTTGTGAAAACTAAGCCTGTTGTTATGACAAAGTAATATTTTGTAAAGCTTGAAAATACATGAAATGTAAAAAAATATATAGTGTACAGTTACAATTTTAAAGGCAAAGAATCTCAATAATTCAGTTTGGAATTAACAATTTCCCATTAGACTGTTCTATTCTGGTTCGGTCATTTCTTCTCTTGTTAGCATTCCAAACTTTAGCCTGCTTGTTGAATCAGCAGCTATTCCCATAAATTATATTGGATTCCAAGTCATGTAGGTATATCGAGGAAATGAAAATGTAGATGCTTTAGCACAACAATCATTAAATTTTCAAAAACCTGACTTATTGTTACCGTGCTTGTGATTTTAGACCGGCTATAAATAAACTCGTATCATCTGAATGGAAAGCAAATTGGGACAATGCCGTTTTTAATAACTTTCACGATATAAACCCATCTCTTGATGTGTCACATCTCTATCTCTCTGTCAAACCGCCGTGATCAAACAGTTCTTCTTTACGATGCCGAATTGGACACACTAAAATTACCTACATTTATCTCCTCACAAATGACAATGACCCTTTCTGTGAAGGTTGTAATGAAAATTTTACTGTCAAGCATTTTCTTCTTGAATGTCATGATTTTTCACAGACCCGTAATAGATTTTATTCTGTAAATTCACTTAAAGAACTCTTTAATACAATTCCATCAAAAACATCATTGATTATTTGAAAGAGATAAACTTGTATTCTAGGATCTAATTTTGCTAATTAATACTCTAGCCGTTAACGGAGGGGACTTTAGGTTAACCCTCCGTCCGTCTGTCCGTCCGTCAGTCCGTCCCGTCCACAAAACTGGATGCCCGCGATAACGCAAAAGTACTGAAAATATTTTTTGAAAACTTGATATATGGATAGATGGGCAGTATGGAGATTATGCACGTCTTTTTTTTCTCCTTATAATTGAAAATTCTGGTTGCTATGGCAACAAATAGACTGAAAAATGGCAAATTTTTACACATAACCTGGATCCCGCGATTAAAGCAAAAAGTACTGAAAATATTTTTATGAAACTTAATATATGGATAGATGGCAGATGGAGATTACGCACGTCTTTTTCTTTTTTTCCTATGCTGAAAATTCTGGTTGCTATGGCAACAAATAGACTTAAAATACGGCAAATTTTAGACATAACCTTGATCCAGTGATAACGCAAAAGTACTGAAAATATTTTTTATGAAACTTGACATATGGGTAGATGGCAGTATGGAAATTATGCACATCCTTTTTTTATCTTCCTATGTTGAAAACTCTGGTTGCTATGGCAACAAATAGACTGAATTTCAAGATTTCTGATTCTAGTTTTTAAGTTTTTTCACTATAAGTTCTTTATTTCTTAAGGTATTTTCTTCAAACTTTAAATATAAGTTGCTAGTCATCAACCACATCATATGCCACAAGGTTTACAACTCTAGCACAAAATTTATTTGAATTACCTCCCTTGAACAAGGTACGTATATTAACGGTATCCGCAACAAGGTTTTAGACCGTGATTGCTATCGTGTCGGTCGTGCGCATGCGCACATGCTACCAAAAAAATTAATCGATGGTGGACGGAGCAATTTTTATTGATGAAAAATCTGTAAATTAAGTGTTAATTTACGAGCATCGGCACAAAATACTCAAGAAATAATGACAGGTAAGTCTTATGTTTTTGTTATGTACGTGTATTTTTACTAGATTACGCTTCCAAATGGCGTAAATCGGGTGTGAAAATTTCCAGTTTGTATGAATGAGATCGACAAAATGGCGGATATTTGTTAAAAACGGGTGAACATGTATAAAATCTGCAGAGTTATCAGGCTTAACCTACTTGTAGGAAACTGATGAAACTTGCACAAATCGGTTAAGAATATATTAATGTAAGTTATGTAGGTACTTTTAAGGCTCCCTCATTATCTGATCTGTTGTTTTTGTGGCGTGAAATTTGAAGGAAATTTGTAAATTTTGCGGTGCAAAAATAAATTCACGACCTATTTTGGCCCAAACAGCAGAGGTATCTAAAGACCTTGAAAATACAAATGAAAGCTTTTAAGTTAGTGACTATATTATTGTGAATGGGTTGTGGTATTATTTATAATTTTCAACTAAGTATTTTTGATGCTATGGTCTTTTGAAAATGGATGAAATTTCCCCCAAATTTATATTTTGTTAGAAGTTATACACTTCTTCATTTTAGAGTTAGCTATTCTGATTTGTATGATATTTACAAAAAGTCCTATATTTAAAAAATGAAAATATTAAATTCATGTTCACATTATATTTTGCACTCTTAATCAATATATTCTATGCCGGTACAAAGTTAAATTATTGGCCGTTACTATGCTATATTTACAAATTTGAAGAGTATTCCTGATCATAAATTCTATTAAGATTTATAAATTTAAAGCTGACAGCTTTATTAAAATGAGCCGCGTCATGACAAACCATTATTAATCATTTGAGCCGTGTCACGACAAAACCAACATAATGGGTTTGCGACCAGCATGGATTCAAACAAGCCTGCGCATCCGCACAGTCTGATCAGGATCCATGCTGTTCGCTTACCAACCCTATTACAAGTAGAGAAACTGATAGCGAACAGCATGGATCCAAATCCAGCAGATGCGCAGGCTGATCTGGATCCATGCTTGTCGCAAACCCACTATGTTGGTTTTGTCGTGACACGGCTCAAATGATTAATTATAATGTCAGTTATGGCGGAGAAGACAGACATTACCAATTGGATAATGAAAATGTATACATTTAGTGAATAGTGGACCTTTCTGTCACTGTTTACCTCTTCACTGGCATGTTAAAGATGTCTTCTCAAGACAATAATTTAACAATCAAATGACAAATGAATTGAATGTTTTGATACAAATATATGTGATTGAAGTACATGTATGGCTTATTGTGTTTGGTAACTGCCAGACAAATATTCCAGCCCAGTGTGTAACTATATGATAATCATGTTCAGGGGCCAGCAAAATCAGAAATTTTTTTTGACACACTTTAACTTGTCGTAGTAAGACCCCTTGTCCTCACAGGCTGGGCGACAGCATTAACAATAATTTATTTTATCGTCCAGTCATGCATCAGTCGGTAAATGGGCCAACTATAACTTGGTTGTCATGTAAAGCAGGCATTAGCCTATCTAGGAATATGTTTCATGAAAAGTTTTTATCCATGTGGGTTACATCTGGAAAGTAAAATCCTGGTTTAAACATTTATTTTGGCTACTTATTTAAACTCTATTCCTAAGAAAGAATAGCTCTTGCAACTTATATTTATCACTTTTGAGACTGCTTTGTATTTGTGTCATATGAAGAAACATTGTTGTAACATGATCCCTTGGTTGACGACAGACACCTTAACCATGAGGCCACTGTTCAAGCCACTGACATGTTCAATGTCAATGAAAAACTTATTCTTTCAGTTTCATAGGAAAAACTTACTCTTTTTATAACTGGCATTGATTGCAATATTGATGTATCCCGTTGATTCTATATTATTCAATTAGAATATAAAAATATTATGTACATGTATTGCAGGTTGATTAACAAGTTGGCAGAAATCATTGGTATTGTCTAAAGTTTTCATAATGCCAGCCCGAAAGAAGTCAAGACTTGCCTATAAAAAGAAATACTCTGTTCCATCCGGTTCCGAAAAAGTTCGCAAAAAGTCTCTTTTATCGAAGATTGATGGTATGTAATCCATAATTTGAATTTTATCATATACTTTTAAGGCCCTTGATGCCCAATAATGCCTCGTGCTATAATTTTGATATTTTTCAGGGAGAAGCATTTCAAATGCTGTAAAACCATTAATTTTATGTTATTTAAGCAAAATTATTATTCAAAAACACATGATTCAAATTAACTATTTACCAGACTTTATCGGTGCAACTGCCTTTATTATATTACATATTGGTTATAATATTTTTTTAAATTTTAATATATAAATAATCTTTGACATAGCCCGCATACTTATTTCTTTCGGTATTTCTTTCAAATGATAACACAGTTGGCTAAGTTCCAAACTGGCCTTGTGAATAAGTAGAATAGTAAGGCAAGGCATATTTTATACAAAGTTGGATGATTTTTAAAGTATGGTAGTCATTAGACAGTGATTTTCCTACTTGTATAACAGACTCCGAAAAAAGGCCTCTTCCCAATTGAAATTTTCTTTAAAATCATTCAGTTTCCAAAAATCTAAACTTAAACCAGCTTTTTAACTTCCCAAATCAGCAATTTTAGCGATAATTGTTCCCAAAATCAAGAGGCTAAGGCCTCTTCCCAATAAATAAGAAAAATCACTGTCAGATATCATCATGCGATATTGATATATAGATCATTGATGTACAATATTATCAAAGCACAACTATATATTCTATAAAAGTTAAACTTGAATGAATATGCTTTATTTCTTGCAGATGCAGCAGAATCAGATGCAGTCTTCTCAACTATGTTTGACGTCTTTTTACCAGACGAAATTTGCTCTGTTGATATACATAATGAGTAAAGTCCTGTCGAATTTGTTGACAGTGATGGGTCTTCTGCAAATGAATTTGTAGTTTGTTTGGATAAACCGTATACATTCTCACCAGATGTTGTACTTGAAGACTTTATTGCGAGTCAGAAATGTCGCATATTTAGTCAACTTAGGGATAGTTGTAAACATGAATTAAAAACAGGCAGTAATTTTATCTACATGACAAACTCGTCGGATATGAAGTATGTCGAACTTTATGATAGCAATGACCATTGGGAAATACCAAGAGTTAAGACATGTGTAAGGGTAAACAAAGACTTAATGGTAAATATCATGGTCCATGGCAAATCTTTGCCTGACAGTCATAGTATTTATGAAAAGATTGGAAGATGTTGTTATTCTGTCAAGTGTGTTCAGAAAGTACTTGATGTTGTTAGTCAATACCATATTTGTGAAAGAAACCAAGACTCTGATCTCCAAGACCTTATTCCAGTGGGAGCTTTTTTTGATGTGTCGGAGGGATATAAATATCAAGGTTACTGTGAATCTTTTTACATCAAGTCAACAATAAGATCAACAAAATGTGATTTTTTGGAAGAAAGAATGGTAGTCGATGTGTTAATTGTCAGACTTACCGTAGAACACTGCGCAAAACACTTCATCATAGATCAAGTACCCCTAAAGTAGCTACACCACAGAAGGATTGGACTAAATGTAAGACATCTATTAAAAACTTGACAGAAAATCAAAAACTTCACAAAATCAAACAATTAAAAGACTACAGCCAGCAATTAGAATTAGAAAATGTACAATTAAGACGAGAAATAACGAAGAAAAATTAAAACTGAAGGTGTCCGCTTATCAGAGGGAGAAAATAAAGACCTGTCGGAACTCATGGAAAGTTGTGAAAATGAAATGAAAAAAATTCACCCGGATGAATCTTCTTACAGCAACAACTGAAGTGTTCTAAACTGAAAGATAAACATGGTATGCGCTGGCACCCATCAATCATCAAATGGTGCATTTATTTAAAAAGTAAAAGTTCAACAACTTATGACACTTTAAGAAATTCTGGTTTTATTAAACCGCCCTCTGGAAGAACCCTGTTTGACAACACAAATGCAAATGCCAAAGGAATAGGATTTCTTGAAGGCAACGTTGAGATGCTTCTAGATGAAACAGAAGGTAAACAATTGTTGTTTTTTATCAATCATGATTATCTACACTTTTTGTTGTTGTCTAAAACAACTTAGTAATGTAAATATATATTATTTAGTAGAAGCTTACTAACTATGTAATTAAAAGAAACTGAAAATTTGAGAAAAATACAAGTCACAAATGTTTATCGATCTGAGTATTAACTGTAGGATAATCATTATTGAAGTGTTTTCCTATTTTAAACAAGTTTTTAATTTTGTGTAATTTGTAAATAAAAATGTCCATTTTCTCAAATGATGGCATGCATTACAGTACTTACTCACAAACGGAATAAAAAACTAGACATTTCCAAATTAAACACTTCCAACATTGAGTACTTAGATATTTATTGATTTTATCAGTTTAACTTTAAGGTTCAGACTTCTGATCAGAGTTGCACAACTATTTCATAACGTATTTCAAGCTTCCAAGCAAATTACTTTAGAGCATTTTCACCCTACATTGATTTGTACAGGGCTCGAAAAAAGGCACCACTCAAAATCCAAGATACTATTTTTCCCAAAAAAACCCAATCGAACAGCAGCCGAAAAAAAAAATTCCTGTGTAATGGGAAAATAATGCACTATTGTCAATTGGGAAGATATCCGTATATAGGCTATAAAATTGATAAAAAAAAATCTCTGTCATATATATACATTTATAAGTCCATAATGTAGATTTTTTTCTCAAAATGTCTCAAATTACCCAAAATGAAGATTTTTCTCAAATAATGTTGGGTGGGGGCCAAAAATCCCTATTATTTGTTATAATGTAATATAATAGATGTCTCTCTATATATTTTTTCTCTTGTAGGATTCACAGGTCATCAGAGGATTGTTGGATTGCTGCAGGATGAGGTTAAAATTAAAAGTGACCTTGTATATGACCGGCATTCTGGGGAACTGATAGGCTTTGTAAATTTAGGTGCTATTAATAATAGTTTGAGTGAACTGCAAAATGAAAATGACACTTTAGCAAAATATTTGTTAGGTGTAATGGTTGGTGGTGTATCATCCAATTTGAAATTCCCGCTAGCTCATTTTGCAACTCATGGTGTATTGTTACGAGCCAGGCGTAACGAGAAAGAAAAGCCAGCAACAAACTTGTAACAATAACAAATTTATTACAGAAAAATTATTAAAGAAAAATAAAATAACAAATTATCTTTACAAATACCTGAAGTCCAAATAAAAATTACAAATGTCTAGTCTGATTCTGGAATGATCCTTTTTCAATAACACAGTTAAATCCAAGTTAAATCCAAGAACACTTTAGAATAAATTCCCACAATAAAATCCACAAGAATAATTAATAATCCAA